GAGGGGGGGGGGGTGGATTGTGGGGGAGTGTGTGAGGGGACTGTGGGTGAGTAGGAACTGTGTGAAGGGCCTGCTCAGGAGGGGCAGGGAGGCACAGGATGTGGGCATGGCAGTGCTGCGAGTGGGGTTTGTGCCCTGCTACTGCTTGCCCCCTTCCGCCCAGAGCAAGCTGCACCTGCATCATGCCCCTGCCCCCGCCTGTCCTGGCTGGGCAAGAAGCAGCGAGGCATATCCTCCACTCCCAGCACTGTCGTGCCTGCATCCCGGGCCCCTCTGCCCTCCTCCCCATGTCCCATGCCCCCTGGCACAAGCTGGGGCACAAGTCAGAGGAAGAGAGCCCGTTTCCTTGGGCGAGGAACCTTGCCCGATAGGGAACGGCAGAGAAAGGTCAGTAGGCACGTCTGCTCTGCAGGAGCTCCTTCCTGAGCAAAGCACCTAGTGTAGTCGGGATGCCACCGTTTCATTCAGCAGACAAGGTTCTCTGGGTAAAAGTGCTGTCTTTTATTAGACCAACCAAACACCCATTTCACACGGCAACACTCGATACCGTCCATGTTTCAGGGGTGTTAGTTGTAGATGGAATACTACATATGAATACTTCATTGGAAATACCAAACCGAGTTACTCCTGTCGGTAGGACACCACCACTAACAACGTCCAAGGACCAGGCGTGGACCCCAAAATACTTGCTTCTGGTTCTACTCTTTCATCTCTACCGCTTCCATCATGTTTCTGACTTTTTCCTCCGCAGCACTTTGGAGATGCCCGTATCATTCGGAGCCTGATGCCGAACAGCAAAGGCTCCGTATATAAAAGCATCCTGGTAAGTGATGTGGAAGAGCTGTGTAGATTTATTACTGGATGTGCTTTCTCTGCGGATGATAATTTCTAGGTAAAATCTCTGCTGCTCTGATTCACACCAAGACAAAGCTTTTAAATATTAGGGGCCCCATCATGCCCTTCATTCTTAGGTGAATCGACACTGGCATTTTAGTAGTCAGAGTACAGTCCACCTCCCAAACTCTTCCCTGGGCTTTCAGCCGGATAATATCCACCACTTGTCCTCAACCACTGAGTAAGGCAAGGCGAAAACGTGCACTCCACTTGTACGAATGGGCGTGCGTGCACAGGTAGGCAGACAGATACGCTGAAGAACAGCTTGGAGGCAAGTCCCCGGAAGATGCTGTATAGCAATAGAGAGTATGTAGTAATACAAGGCTCCCAAAGGGCAGACACCTCTAAACAGCATCGTGTATTAGCCTTCATTTTCTCTTAGAGGAAAGAGGAGCTGGAAGGGACCTCAGGAGGCCATCTCATCTAACCCCTGCTGAAGGCAGGGTCATTCCTGACTAAACCTTCCCACTCAAGTTACGTCTGACCTGTCCTTAACACTGCACAAGCCAGCCTCCCACACACCCACTATTGCCAGTGCCCAAAACACCAAGAATAACCGTCACCTGCTACAGGTAAAGCAAGGCGGCGAGGCCCAATGCCAAACGTGGGGCTTGGTGTGAGCCCCAGCAGAGAAGCCAAACCCAGGAACTTGCCGGTTGTTTTAGCGCTAGCAAGAGCATCAGCACACCCCAGTCCAAGCCCCCAGCCCTAACTGCGGCCAGCAGACAGTGCTCCCAGTGCGTCTGCTGTCCTTCCCAGTCTGGGGCTCTCTGCAGATTGGCTCGGGAAGCTCTTTATTCCTGCAGCCAAATCATCTGAACAGCAGCGGAGCCAGGACACATCCCTGGAGGAGTCCACTCAAAGCCTCCTGCCATTCCCACCTGGGTCCATGCACAAGCGCCTTAGAGACCTGGCTCGACAGCCACAAGCAATGTGCTCTGGAGTCATTCGGTTTTGCCCATGTTTCTCCAGGTTGTTTCTGAGAAGGCTGGGTGGGACTTTCCAGGGAAAGGGAAAGTGTTAAGAGGTAAACCCTGGGCCAGGTTCATGGGGATGCAGCTGCTGCTTGGGCCATCTCAGTGGCACAAGGTAGAGTTAGGCAAGAAAAGCCTTGATGGCATAGGACCGGCCTCGTGGCTCCTGGGACTCTGCTCCGTGCGGGTGGTCACGCTGGAATGAAAGGTTTCAGAGAGACAGAGGCAAAAGACAAGAGCATTCAGAGCGGTCTTTTTTACACCAGGGACAAACACAATCTAGCCAGAAAGCTTGGTAGAGTCACACACACACAGGCACCGTCACCCTTTGCTAGGATGTGCTGTGCACGAGGCTATTTCCATCGCCGTAATTCCCAGTCACGCACTGTCTGTACCTCCCCGATGAGACACCAAGCCAACACGCCAGATAGATAACTTGAAAACAGATGTCGAGAAGCAAAATCAGTCATTGCAAAATGCTTTTTCCAGTTAACCTGCCCGGACAGGACCACCGGCGTCATAGAATAAATACTGGCCAAATACAACGTGGACCTGATAGAAGTTGACAACTTTGAACTCGTGCAGGTCATCTCCGAGCACAAAGGTAAGAGAGCAAAACTTTTTGCTGCTTAAAAGCTCCTCCTCATGGCTGCAGAAGAACATGCATGTGAATCCATTTTAGAAATAGTGCATTGTTTCATCTCAAAGCCAGGTGCCTTCAACAACTTCCTGGAGAAGCCCCATCCGTGCGGGCTGCGGAGAGGGGCTGACACAGCCCCGAGCTGGCGACCGGAAAGTGGCTCTGCCTGCTGACCAGAAACCTCGGGGCTGAGGACGGGGCAGGACGGAAGAAGACCGGGGGGCAGAGCTGGGGGCGGGGTGGGGCAAGGAGACCCCACGGGCGGAGAAGACAGGAGTGGGGAGGAAGCGGGGCTGGGGGGTGCCATGTGACCGCCCCGCCAGGGGGAAGAGGGGGCGGGGCGGGGGAAGAAGCAGTGATGTGCAGGTTTTCAGGAACGCATCTACCACATGCAGCGAGGACAACGTGGAAACCCCTTCTCCTGTTTCAAAGGACACAGCCCACGGGAGCTGAAAATGGTTTGGACTCTGCAGATTCCTATTGGAAATCTCTGAGTGTATCTTGTGACTCATGCACAGCGACACATGGAGACAAAATATGTGGAGGCCTCTGGGATATGCCTGGACTCGTGGGATTAACACTCTTCCTTCACACACCGTGTTTGATCCCATCTGGCCAAGACTTAGTTTTCTGTCTCCTCCACCGACAGGTACTGCTGATACGAGACCCCCCCGCTCCAGCGCTGGGTGACGTGGGGTTCGCGCTGGTTCGGAGGAGGGCCGCTGCCGACTCGTAATGCCATGATTTTGTTCTTTTGTTTCACAGGCCGTGCACAAAGTTGTCGAAAACCTGAAGCAGGATTTCGTAAATATTCACAGTTTCTTCTGTGAATACAGGGCCTTGGCTTCTCCAGGCGAGGTCCTGGAAGTGCTCCTCCCCAGGTAAGAGCCCAGAGTTGTGGAGGAAGCTGTAAAGGCCTTTATTGGTGGGACATTGCAGGAAACGATCTCAAATAGCATTGAAGTAGGCATACTTAAGAGGCTAAATGATATGCATGTATGTCTAACAACCCGGGCTATCACTATCCCTCTGCATAACTCTTTGCTCCATGAATCGGGCTCTGCTGGACAGGGCAGGGATTTCACAGGCCTAAAGGCACAAAGCATCGCCCCTTCCTCCCCCTGCGCCACAATATCCTCCAGCTCTGCTGTCGTGGAGGGACAGCACACCAGCTTTGGTTTCCAGCGAAAAGCCTGGTTGAGCCAGACGAGATGAACCAGGTGCTCTTCATTCTCAGTTCCTCCATCTGTGAAATAGGGACAATGAGAATATTTGAGCTGCCTTGCGAGATTGGTGAGACATAGCTGCTGTTTGCCAAGTCCTTTGACAGTCTCAGATGAAATGCTCCGTCCTTGGGCAAAGCCTTGGTACTAGTATGGGCAGCGCTCGAGCACGTGGCCCGTCGCGTCGCAGACTGAAGTGCGCAGGCTGGGCAAGACTGCTTAGGCTTGAATTCAGTCGCACCAAGTGTCACTCTCCCCAGCATCGTGAACGGGATATAAAATGTTAGATGGATGACATTATGAAGGGGAGTAAAGAGAATGACATTCTTCATCTTTTTTCTCTAAGACAGTTTGAATAGAGAAGTCTTGATTTTTTTATTGTCTGGGCAAGGTTTTGACATAAACTGCCTTACCTTTGTGACATAGACTGTTTTTTTAATAATCATCTAAAATCTCCATTTTGATATTTAGGCATGGAAACAAGGACACCTGGGCTGGTTCAGGAGATGCCAGAACAGTCCTCGGGAAGTAAGTGTGGCTTTCTGCTGTACAGCAAAACCTGTCAGGATTCAGAGCGTGTGGGCAGCTTAAGCATCTCTATATATGATCCGTGTGTGTGTGTGTGTATGTATATATACTTACATATGTATGTATGTAGTTCCCTAGCCTTTGTGATTAAGTGTGTATATGTGTGTGTGTGTATTTATATATTGGATTCCCCCTTGTCGATCCCCCTGATCCCCTTTAGCTCTCGGCAGGGCATCGCTGTGAGATGCTCCAGAAGAGCACTAGCACGGCTTCCGGCAGTAAGCGTTTGGCTAAGTTGCCTTAACTCCCCCGATCTTGCTCCTCAATGACTCGATTTAAGCACGGGTTCATGTAGCTTCGATTCTTTCATTTGTTCTGGGGAAAAACAAGTCCCACGTCCTGTTTCTGTCATGTGCCATGTCCAGTAAAGATCCAGTAACTAGTGAGTAGAAGAGCAGAGTCTCACCTGCAAGCCCTCGCACCACATTTTTCCCTCCCAGGAACAACCTTTCTACCAAGTTTCATGAATGGGTTTCTGAAGTTGTCATCATTTTAGCATTGTCCAGTCCTAAGACATTGTGGCAGGGGGTGTCACAGAGAATGCCACAGGTTTTCATAGCACGTTACGAAATTACGATGAATACTTAGGATTATTCATGATAAGATAGCTGACCTAGCAGTCCCACCATCGCAAAGTCCTTTCTGAACTGGGTGGCGGTGGGGTTGGGAAGTGCGAGTAGGGCATGCTCTGGGAAGCAGCAGCTGGGTAGTCTGGACCTCAGATGGTCCAAACTCAACCTGATCTGTAAGTTTGATCTCCATAAAGAGCTGAAGAAGAACCTTTGTCCAATGAAGAAACCTGCTGAGCTGTGTGGTCTGTGTTTTGAGCTCTTAATGCAATCCCAAAGCAAGAACGTTTTGCACACTTGGTTGGCAAGGCTTGGTGAAGCTCTGCTCCCGTCATTGCTAGTCGCGCCCGTCGTCCAGTCTAACCAAGCAATATTCCTGCTCTCAAACGACTCTTTGTGGCCACACACGGAAGTGGAAGCAGCTTTACATGAAAAGAGGGGAAAACATGTCAAATAGTAAGCCAGTGGAGGATTAAAAGCTACAGAGCCTGGGGACACTCATTGAGGCCCTGCCCCTGCCCCGGGTATACAAGTCATAGTGGGCTGTGCAAACCCGTGCAGCGGGATCCGGCCTGTTGTTGGGATCTGGCTGGATAGGGACCTGGCCATGCCCACCGGCCTGCGGGACACAGATGTTGGGCACCGCCGGGATGGAGCACGTGTGTGTGTGCCTGCATTACCCCTTCCACGTGGACGCAGGTGTCTATGCTGATAATAACCCTTGTGTCCAGGGTAGATTCATCCCTCTATGAGAGCACCTTTTCTGCTTCTAGTAGTGGACAGCCTTTCTTGTTCACCCCTCTCAGAAAGGGTCTCCTACAATCAGAAAAGGTGCAGGGAAGGGCAATACAGAGAGAGGGATGCGGTAGTCGTAGAACCAGGGTCAGGAAAAGATTGCAGCTGTCCTTTCTAAGGCGCCCAGATCAGAAGTCCTTGCTGGCTCATGGCAGAAGGAATATGCCCATCTTCTCGATACAGGCTGAGTGACAAATATCACTGTTTCAAAGACTGACCATGGCCGGATTTGGTCAATGTATTTGTTTTCAGCCCACTAGCCCTCCTCCTCAGGACCTGGCTCCTTTCAACGCCAGAAGACTTCAGGGAGGCACGGTTGTAAGCCCCTTGTGTGCTACTTGCAAGGAGACATGCCTGTGAACTAGGGCTGGTGTCGATGCCACTGGTTGTGGGGGGGGGGGGTTCCCCCCCCCCCGGTGCCCAATCCTGCTGCCTGCGGGGCCCCGATCCCACTCACCATAAACGCAGCCACGCTGCTTCGGGAACTTGGCGACCACTTCCAGAAGCAGCGCGGCCATTGGAGCTGGCAGGCC